CCTGTTATTGATGTGCTAAATTGTCTGGCCTGACTCGTAAGACTGGCCAGGATGGCTGATAGACATCGTTCAGGGACGTGTTCCGCGACGACAAAAAGGATTCGATCGAGGACACCCGACGGCCCCCTTTCCCTTTGATCAACGTTTATGCTAAAATACCCCCGGCAACGCGTAAATTACCGGAACTTAATTTTCCATCGAGATTTTCTCACGAAAAGGCTCTTTTTTCTGTTCAACCATTTGCTGAATTCTCTCGCGATTGGACTTGATATAATTATTTTATTTGTTAATTGTTTATTAGTGTTAATGTTCCCTTTCTTTCTGTTGTCAGTTCTACAAAACAGTGAATTTTTTAGTTTTTGTTTCGCAATATCGAGTTAAATTGATACAAATTATTTTACGTTAAGTTTAATGAATATAATTACTTACTTTAAATTAGTTGAGGGATTAAGCGATTTGCACTTGGGAATATTTAATTCTTGCAATAAATTTACTTTTATAATCAGTATATCGTTTCTTTTCTGTTAATTTTGAAGAATTGCTAGAAACTTATTAGTCATAAAGCAAGTCTCAGACGAAACTCTGAGCAGGAAAAGAAGTCAGAAGGCGAGGAGTTGAATAACGATTCGAGAATCGGAGAAACCCACATTCCGGAAATATCCGGCAATAAATCGTTTGCAAGTTTTATTCGCGCCTTGTTATTCGCGTTCCCGTTTTCCCGGCTATCAAGATAAGCACGGACAGTATAACAAAAAGGCACGGTGAAAGAGAATAGGCATTAATCGTGACACCTACCGCTGACACAATAACGATACGTGGTAACTTGAAGTGCAGCCTTTGATCTTTCAATGCCCGACGGAGTAGGTATACGAGCTCACGCTCGGAGAAAGTTGTAATTTCCGGTGTAACTCCGTTCGATCGTTAAGAAAAACTTGAAAATCATTGTGCTTCCCATACTGCGATGGGAAATAACGCGCCGAGTGTCAGAGTATTTCCATTGACATTACATTTTAGAGCGGAAGTAACAAACGAAAGTTGTAATATCTGACAAGTTACTTAAAGAGACAAAATTAATTCTCCTCGATAAAATATTTGTTATAGAAACTTTCTTTGCAATATTAAATGTGTTTCGTATCTCTTTACTATTTAGAATCATTAATATAGCTTTTTTATTCCCTGCGAATTTAAAAGAGAATTACTTATTATTTCATTGATCGCAAAATTTTTTATCATATTTTTATTAATACTTATTGTGGCAGTTATAATTAATTAGTATAGTGAAATTAAAAATTAAACAAAGGATACTGACATTTTAATCAAAACATTGAAATATAGTGTATGCAATTCATTTGGGGGACTTTGTTTATTTTCTTTAATTTAAACTTTTACTTTCATCATGTGTTACATTTTCGAATGCAATACGATCAACTCCACATTGACTTGAATAACAGAGTTCGCACTGCATCAAAATATCTACTAGTTCCGACGGAAAGTGACATAAAACATAACTGACACTGGTTGACCCGAAAGTGCTCCGGATAGATTTATACGATCGAACGCAACATTAATCCCGAAACTTTATGATCAGAAATTAATGTCAGTTATTGTACATCTGTAAATTAAATGCGATTCATAATATATAAAGCTGGTGAAAGGAAATCGATAAAAACAAAATTATAACCATGGAACAAGTGAACTATACCTAGTATTTTGGTTCAGATTTACTCATTAAGCAGGGAATATTAGAACATATTGCAGTTGAAACAAAGCTAACACTAATCAGACAAGAAACGCTTAAACAAATACGTAATATCTTGAAAAATTGCCGTATAAAAATGTTATTAAATGTGATCAAAGAGAAAACAAATGTGTTACTAAAATGTTATTTAAAATATCAAGAAACTCTTTCTTATCTTCTAAAACATTAAATGATTTACACAGATATCCAGGGAAAGTACACATCGACTTTTCCGAGTTTCTCCAGTGATATAAAGCAATCGCTTTTGCAAACTAACGTCATCGCCGTTACTTAAGTTCCTGGTCGCTTCGATAATGTTTTGATTAAATATCGAACGGCAATCTGTTACCGGCGATTGAGTCGTTTTTCAGTGCGAGCGCCGCTGCTAAATTGCTTGCTTCATCGAGTTCAGGAGTAGGGTGGCGGGGAGGGAGGATATAATAGATGATGTACTTCGTTTCGAGCAACGGGACAGAACGTCCGATAGGCAACTCGTCATGTGACACATCTAGCTTGCACAGCGATCTACATAGCAGGAATACGATGTCTGTGTGAAAGACTATTGACGATGGGAAATGCCTGAAGATAGATTTACACTTTCCTTGCCCGGCATTACCGTGAATACTTTACAGTGTCGCGTTAATGTCGAACGAACGAACGGTTCCCGCTGGAGAGGCAGCGGGATCCGAAAGCGGCGCGACGCCGTAGAAACAGCTGTTCGAAATATATTATGCGGAAGATCAATAAAATCACTCCTGAACGTCGACCAAAGTCACGCGCGCGCGGCGCACGGGTTTCTTTTTGCCCCACAATATTAAACCTTTAACACCGGTTTCGGGCAGATCAAGATAAATCTCTATTATGTTTGTAAGCGTTCGCCGTTTATTCGAGGAGTCTGAACGAAGGGGAAAAAATCGACAACGAGAAGGGAATAAATAGACTTCGATAAAAATAGACGAATATAGAAAGTCCGACACGAGTCTCCCTGTGTCAACGAACGCGGAGTCCACCTCGTAACTTTTAGTTTCCAACTATTATGAAGATTTTCGCTGATGACTGGCGGAATCGCGAAGCTTTGACCAACAACCGCCGCTCTTGGAAATGTCTTGTTTCGATTAACTGTGGTTCACCGTAACGCTCTTCGTTTTTGAAGCATTAATATTTAACATTAACTCGCATAAATTATGACTTTACAATGTATATGTAAACAATAAACAAATGTAGCAATAACTTCATGAGAGTACAAAAAGTTGTTAATGAAAACATAAATTAATTAGTATGACTCTCAATCACATATGTCAATCACAATTCTGTACTATATCACTAAAATAGTACTCCCAGTTATTACGTTCCGTATTGTTATTTCCCTAATTACCGAATTAATTAGCGAAACGATTAACGAAATCTTGTTGATCAATCCTCCCGTGTTGCTCGCCCCGCTAACATCAAACCACGTCAAAATCGCATCAAACCCCTACGCCGTGAAGAAAGAAAAAAAAACCTTATCCAACCCCGTTAAATCATCCCTCCTTTCGTCCGTTAATCCGTGCTGGAGTAACACGACCGCGTCGCTGACAATCATCTAGGAAACCGTCGGCGTCAGGCGCGTGTATTTCCCCGCAGATCCAATCACGGGTTATAACTCACGCGGTTAGATGTATCTACACGTAAATACTCTAGTTAAAGCGGACGAGTCACTAATTGAGATTCAGCGATGCGCATAATGGTACCGAAATAACATGAATTCCAATCCGTGGAACGAGCCGAGAAGGCGAAATACGAGGAGACTATTCATCCCGACGGTTAAAATCACCGAATATTTCACTTTGCTGAGCCAGCTGAGCCTGCCACCGCCTGTCGCGGCACCCTGGCAATGGAAACGACGTACGCGGAGGGTAAAGCGAGTCTTCCCCGCTCTGCATGGGTCTAAAAACCTTCAACCACCCACTCCGTTTCTAGCCCCTCTCTGCCCCTCCGCCCTCTTTCACCCTGTGTGTCCCTTCCCCGTTGGCTCCTCCGCGTTTTTCTCTCACCCTCTTCCGCCGCCCTGTCTCTCACTCCCTCACCACCTCTCCCTTCCCCGCGTCCCGCTGTTCGCCAACCGCCGCCTTTTCCTCCTTCCGACACTAGGCTGCAGATTTATGCGCCCCGCCTTGCAGCGTTGATATCCGAGAACTCGCGATCTGCTCCGTCCGTAATGAAAGAAATAAATTTACTCTCCTGGGTGCCCCGGGGATTGAGACTACGCCGCGTTCGCGCGTGTGTGCGCGCGCGAACACCCGAGCACCCCTAGTGGCGCGAGTCAAAACTATACGCGCGACTCCCGGCACCACTTCCGACTCGTCCGACGGAACCATCCCGGCTCTCCTGCGTCCCCGTCGTCTAATGCTGTTGCAAGGGGTTTACGAGGCAACGAGTGATCGATTCGATCGCGACAGCCGGATGTTGATGCTCAATGGGATTCGATGTTGACGTTGGATAGCGCGTGTTGGGAATAATTGGTTGGGGTTGACGCGGTTCGAGGGAAATGGGGTTCGATGTTGGGAAGGTGTAGGATTTGTAAGTTGCGCAGTTGTAGGTGAGGGATGAACGTTAGGGGTTACTTAAGATTTTAAGTGTAAGATCACTTTGTTCGAAGATAGTTCTCCACTCCAAAAATATTAAGGTCTCGGGTATTCTTGGCTTTGCTTTTGTAAGTTATTGATTGCTTTTTTAAATTGTTATTCGGTCAGTTAGTATCATTTGATTCTGGAAATGAGTCGATTTTACTTGAGAATTGTTATCTACTCCAAAAATGTTCCTAAGATTCCATGTATCTTTTTTTACACCTATTCTTACGAAAAAATGTGTTTTCATTTGGCAGATAGTGGTAAGTTTGTAATTACTATGTTGTTTCAATAAATAGACATCCGTAGACACTGTAGAGTCGAAATGAAAAAAAAATCAGTGTTTCGAATCAATTCAATTTCAGTCGAAATGACCAAAATAATATCTTTTTTATAGTTAGTTTAAAATCTGATTCGATGTTATAAGGATTCGAACGAGTTATTATTTGGCCTGTTAAAAATGTCGAATAGTAAAAAATTCAGTCCAATTTTTAGAAAATCAACCAAGCGAACTAATTGAAAACACTCTGTTACCAAATAATAGCGAAGACGCTAAATTTTATTGTAGAATAAAACCAGGAAAAACCAATTCGGAAGACGAGTTTCACGTCATTTAAGATAAACAGGAGAATATTAGTAAAGACACCAATTTAATGATTCCACAAACATTGTTTTTATTAAAGCGGTATGGAAACTCAACGATATTTACAAGAGATATTTACAGTGCAAATAATATGTATCATACATTACGGTGCCTTCCAACGGAATACTTTACACGGTAGACAATTATAATCTGACGCGTACCTGGATGAAATTTTGAAGTCGTCGGATAAGTTTTCGTTTTCTTTACAATAATAGTGATCCAGAAAATCCGTGAAATGATCAGCACACTTTTTGTTTCCGTTCGAACAGCTTTCATATATATATATATTTATATAATATATTTCTCTTCTCATATACAAATAATGCAAATAAGTTAGATGTTATATTTTGCGGTAGAGACAGTTTAGATACCATTGTTAATATTATCTCTTATCGATCCTTCGAAAAAATATCGTAATATCACAGTTATATCATGGACATAGAACATGCACGACCGTCGGGCCCGCGCGACCGAACGCGTCGGCATAGGCGTAGAGATGTCACACACGCGCCTACGCGAACGTACCGTTATCGAGAGAGCGAGCGCGTCACTTTCAAACACAAATCGGTAAAATATACAGTGCGCGTAAACCGAGGAGCACAGGCGAATTTTCCAATTACGGATCGTCTATTCGCTCTCCCGTCTCATCAATGATCCACAAAACGATTCGATTTCGTCACGTGAAAAACATTTCGCACCAATAATAGTGAAAGTATCCCGAAACTATCAAAAAAGTTTCTTCATCCCGGTTACTCGTTGGCGTACATGTTCTTCCCTAGAGCAATAATCAAATTGTTGTGAGATACGTTCGATAATAGGATTTCTGCAAAGAATGAGTCTCGCGATGAAACAAACTGTCGATATATCTTTAGAAACTTTAATCGTAATTCTGAATTTATACACACATATGTATATATATATATATTTATATATATTTATATATATATAGACTTCTTTAAATAAATTTATATTATACACGTTTCTCATTATTTACACAACAGTCTGTCAAAAGTTCTCGGGCGACGAGTAAAAGGGGATCTTCTATTTTACACTATTCATGGACTGTACACTGTTCGTATCAAACACTGATTCGTTCACCCTCTTCACGGGTGTACAGCGGCTCCAATTCGCTGACCGTAGATCGCGTACGGCGAGTAGTACGGTCCCAACGCGTTGAAAGCGCTGTAAGGCGACGCGGCCAGCGACGCTGGCAAAGGTCCCGTCGGCGGCTTCCCGTACGGGTGGTATCTGGCGCTGAGAGGACTCAGGGATGGCGTCGGGTACGACCCGCCGCTGGCACGATGGAGCGCTGCCGACGGCGATAGCAACGGGTGCGGGTGCGGGTTGCTGAGGAGCGCTGCCGACGATGCGTGGTCGCCGCCGGTCAAGCTGGTGTGACTGCGAAGATGTTGTAAGAGCTCTTCGGAGGTGGTGAATCTCTTTCCGCAGTAGGAATCCCCGGCGATCCAGTTACAAACGTACGGCCTGCCACCCGTCAACGTCGACGGATACGAGAGGGAGGGTGGCGCCATTGGTCCCAATGACGATAACGCCATTGCCAGTCCGTATTTTTGATGATCGCACTGTGTGCATCCACTAGGGCAAGTGCCGGTACCCATCATCAACTGTGCGCTGTGCATACTATATTGGCAACCGGTGCAGTAAGGGTCTTTGCAAACTGGTACTAATGCCTCTCCGCCGGCGGGTGTCTTCACGCGAGCATAGCTCAAGTATGGGTTTCCACCCGTCGGCGTGGTGGACGGGTAGCCCAAGAGTGCCGCCGCGGCTGCATGATGATGCGAGAAAGGCGATGCGCCGGCGAACGGCGGTCTGAACGCTGGGTTCTCAGCTAAACCGGGTGGGCAACATAGGGGGTTTCCGGAGAATCCTGGAAGACCCGGCTTGTAAGCGCCCAAATTGGAATCCTTCGCATGTGCACCGGATAAGATTTCCATTCCAGATCTGATGATCGGACTGGTCCCGCTGTTGCTGTTGCGCGGTGATCCGTCGGTCTTCTCACGTTCTGCAGGCGTCTTTCTATCCGCCGACGGTGTGCTGGTGCTGGTAGCTGTCGCTTGGCTAGCGGGCGACGCGGACTTCCGTCCGACGGGCGTACGGTTGCCGGACGATTTCTTTTCGGAGTGGCCGTTATCACTTGCACTCGCACTGTCTTGACCACTGACACTGTGCACACTGGCCTTCGATGTTGGCCTACCCTCGTCGCTAGACTTTTTCGACACGACGTTCGTCTCATACGGCTTGAATGCCAACGACTTCCCGTCCGACGGGCTGCTGCGAGTGTTCCGTTCCAATTTCGCAGCCGGCGGCGATTTCGCGTTCGTTCCGGCGCTCATCCCTTTCGGAGTTTTGTCCAGCGGGGAAATCAACGGCTTCGTCGGAGAATCCGCGCCGATTTGGCTGCATGTTTGGGCCAGTAAAGCTAGGGGACTTTTCTTCGCATCCAACTGTAAAATGAAATTGAGAAACTTGTTACGAAGGAAGAAACTGAGGATCGATCATTCGAAATATTTGAAACGACCGCGTTCGGTCACTTTTACGAAAACGCGTGCGAGCGTACAGCAACCCGTCGGAGAGCGCGCGCCGTTCGAGGGCGGCAAAGAATTCGATTTAAACGTCGCGGCTCGAGTTTTCAGTTGCATTCGAGTTTCTTAACGAATTCATATTGTCTAATCGAATGAACTTATTCGAACTGTGGAACTTTCATAGGAATTGCGGTGGTGGGTTTCCACAACAAAGTTAATCCGATTGAAATAAAAATCTCTCGCAACGTATACTAACCGTGGTTGGAAGCGGAGAAAGGTAATCCGGTTGTAGATACTGATTATGTCCAGTAGTCAGCATACCGCCTTCCTCGAGGACAACCATTTGGTTACGCACTTATTGAGCCAATCACTGCACGAAACCACAGATGTATATCCTCACAGATCACAAACGAAACAAAAAAAAATAAGGCGGTGGTGGAATGGTTGCGAACCGTTTTCGTGTTGAGTGCTTGTAACGTTTACGGGGTGCGCGCGGTCTCGATATGTGTTTGCGAATACTAGCCGATCGATCCTTCCGTGTCGCGGGCCGATTAAACGCAAACGACGTACACCGAGCGAAATCCAGGAAAATAGTGGTAGCTCTCGGTGGAGCTGTTCGGTGCACGGAGTGGAATGCGACCGCAACGCCGCCTGGCGACACCGCGTACACACTCGCTCCTTCTTTCTTGCTCCATCCTGTACTCTATCCTCCTCTCTCTTTATCTTTCTTCGCTCCCCTCCCTGCCCGATGTGCTGGGGTGTATAACCTGTCCTCTCCTGTCATCCCCACCATTTCTGGTCCGGAGGATTATGGTGGGAGAATTGCGGTGGGGTTTGGCCCTGTG